CCCCCTAATCTCCATTCTTGAATTTGTGATGATCCTCTTGTAGCCGAGAACTTTCTTTTAAACTGTGTCATCAGTTTGGACTAAATTGCTGTATAACAGTGACTCCTGAAAAATAAATTGGAAAGAACAATGAGTCAGAGAGCTTCGCAGTCGGGCAGTAGCGGCTTCACTGGAGGACATCATTTTGCGAATCAATTCTCAAAAACCTTTGAACTTTGAGTTGAGTATACGCCCTCTAAGTTGTTTTTTTATGCAGTATTCTCATCAAAGAGGCTCTGAGCTTTCAACTAATACCAAAGTTGTCCAAACTTCACAGGTCATTTCTCTAAAAAAAAAGTGTTAAAACCACATGATATACTTTTAATGCCAGCAATTTTCACAGGAAAACTGACCAAAATCGTCACAAAAATTGTAAAAAAGACCATTACGAAGGTATGTAAAAGTAGTCTTTTGGAAAGTTTAAAGTGTGCTGATTCTGTGTTGCTGTTGCTGTGGAATTTGTGATAAGCTGCAATTTTTGTATGTTCGTGAACTGTCGGATTTCAGAAATGTTAATGATCCGCACATTAGAGCTTCACACTACTGTGCATGTCCATTTATACTAAGTAAGACTGGTTCCTGCCCTGTCTCACTCCCAATCTTAATAATAATAAACAATAATATCAAAGCAAATTTATAAGGGGCACAGATCCTACAGTATTTGTTATTCAAAGGCGCTGATGCACAGTACTATTGTTACTGTCCCTGCATATTGGGCTCACAGCATCTGAATATTCCTGAAACAATCCCTGGGGAGTATGCATGTACTAGCCTGCTGCAGCCATATCTCTGTATATCAAGTGCTAATGGCTAAACAGAATTATCTCTGCCCTCACAGGTACCCATTCACTCCTGGGTGGAGAGAGACACATAGGGGTAAAGTGATGGCCCAAGATCACATGCTGCAACCAGCTGGATTCGAACCCCCAACCCTATAATCAGAAGCTACAAACCCTTATTACTAGGCTACATGTCTCCAGCAGTTGTTCAGCAGTTTTTTTTTTGTCTTGTGTTGTAGGCTCTATGTTTTTTGTTGAATTAAAATTAATTGACATTTCGTCGGTTTTTCCCTTTGCCTGCTCCCAGCAATAAGTTTTTCCCATCTTTTCAGCGTATACTATAGCCCTCTGTATCAGTCAGAAATTGCCTTTTAAGCCTTGGCAGTGGTTTGTTTTCAATCTTGCCAGTGTTGTAGTCAAATACGTTTTCCCAAGTACTGCCGAGTACGTAGATCACTCTACTTCAGTCTCAAGATGTTGATTAAGTAACTTTTCAGTTGGGTGCATACATATAACCAATTTATTTTCAATGCGCAGTTCATGTTTTTGAAGTCACATATAGAGACATGCAATCGGTACCATCAGTAGGGAGATTGTAGGGCAAGCACACGGTCTTCATTTCCCCACAAGTCTAAATGATCAAAATCTCTCGGTCACTGTAGGAGATTAGGTCGTGTGGAAAATACATGCATTTGGAATATCATTTGGGAAATACACATTTGTTTGAAAACAGTCTTTTGTATGAAATTATACAGTAACTGTCAACATCAAAGTTATGTTTGAAAATTGTTCAATAAAACAGGAAAAGTTAAAACTGAGGTTTAGTTGAAAGTAAATAGGCTAAAAGAACATTTTAAAAAGAAAACACAAAGACAAATAGTGTTGATTAAACGTTACAATTAACATATAAATATAAATAAGATGAAGAAAAATTATAAAATAAAAAAATAAATGGCACATTAAAACATAAGTGCAATGATATCTAACATCTGGGAAGGTGTCCATGGAGGTGGGGTTGGGTTTCAGGTATGCATGTAGGAGACCTTAATGCCCAAGAAGGGGGATGGCCTTGGTTTGGAGTAGCAGATGTCGCTGAGCTGGAATCCTATGTCTTGTGGAACTGCATCATCCTGGAATATCTCGATAGCTTCACAGGTTCTTGTAGGTAGCAAGTTCTTGATGGAAGTAGTGAGTTGTGCAGAGTCCCAGTGAATCTGGGGGTCCAAGATGTGGGCATGCTTGGAGATGGCAGATTTGTCAAGCTCTCCCTTTCTGCAGTGGGCACAGTGTTCTTTGATCCAGTTGGAGAGGTTTCTGCCTGTTTCCCCAATGTCCACCTCACTGCATTCACAGGGGATGCGGTACACACCAGGTTGACTGTCAGGTTGTTTTATTCTTGCGGGTGTTGAGGATGGATTTGATCTTGTGTGGCACCGAATGGAATACCTTGATGTCAGCTGAGCATAGGATGCGTTGGAGCTGGTGGGAGGCAGAGCTGAGGTAGACAAACTGGCGATGGAGGGGTTGGCTTCAGGTATAGAAGACCCTAACACCAGGGGAGTGGTGGTAGCCTCCGGTATAAGGAGACCTTACATGTACATGTATATACCAACGCTCACCCAAGGTCCGGCAATCCACTCCTGAGCATGTCCAGAGCAGTTTAAACATCAAGTACACGCTCAACTGTTCTTATCAGAAGTATACCGCTTCCAAAAGACATCTATCCACATGGTGTTACCGCAAGCCCTGTCTTTGGTGTACTTCACTGTAAGGAGCATTTTTCATTGTGTTTGACATTATACATATTATTATTGAATGACACAACTGCTTTCTCTGTGTCTATCAAGTTAATTTTGATTTGTCGTATTTTGTTTAAATGTACAGAAAACTGTACATTCTTTTTAAGAATACAGTTACCTGTACATTGCATTTGTAAAAATAATAGACACTTCTCTGAATAAGGCGATGCCACAAGAGCTGTTTACTTTACGGTTAGCTTAACCTTGTCCAGACAGTGCATGCAGAGGAAGTCACTTTCTCTGCAGTCATTTGAAAGTATTGATAAAAAGAGAAGTAAGACCGTGGTAAATCAAGGTATAATATTTATTGAGTACTACTTTTCAAATACAAGTACCTTGATTATCCAGCAAGTAGTTCGCTGTCTGAGTACTAGTATGGTCAGGTTGAGTATGAGTACTTTGACATTTATATGAGTGTGAGTACTCGAGTACACGTAGTACTGGCTCTCTTAAGAATGAGAATGTGAAAGATGAAGAAAGAAATCCTGAAATTCTTGCCAGTAATTCTTTGTGGCGTGTTTGGCAGTTGACTTCTTGCAGTTGTCTTGTGAGTTTCCACATGTTATACATGTATTAATAAGACAGGTGTCATGAAAGCAAGAGAGAATTATTAAAAAAAACTTCATTAAGCCACACCGAGTTTGAGGTTCCCCATGGGTGTGTGAATTTGGTCTGGTTCTTGATCCCATGTGGGTTACATTTTGTATAGTTCATTTGTGAAAAAGGAAAGTGTGGTATGCTGTAACAAAATATTAGGGAAACTTCTTCTTTAGTTAAAGTGTGCCTTTATTCCTCAATTTTAAATGAAACGTATTAATGGATTATACTTCCAGGTAAATCCAACTTGATGGATGCCATCAGTTTTGTCCTTGGTGAGAGAACGTCTAATTTGCGAGTGAAGCGACTTTCAGATCTCATCCATGGTGCCCCCATTGGTAAACCAGCCTCCAATCGAGCCACCGTGACGGCTGTCTATGAAGAAGAGGATGGTAGAGAGACTAACTATACCAGAATGTAAACATCACATGCTGTATTTCTGTCCATCATATTGTCCCTGTTTTCAAGTTTCCTTGAGAAGCTATCTACAAAATGCTTTTGTTGATGTTTGGTGTGAATATGTCAGATTTTGCTTGTAATCAGTTTAGTTAATTTTTTTCGACGGTACATTCATTGCGATGTGAAAGGAAAAAAAAACAATGTGTGTATAAGTAAGATTTGAAGCTTTGCAAGGTGTGGTTCTTAAACAGTTGACCTCCTCCTGAGGACAGCCAGAGCACACTGGTCGAAACGTCGAGCTAATACTCACCGGTTCTTTTAACCCTAACCCTCCTCAATCCTTCACCTGTTGGAGGACTGAGGAGTGTTAGGGTTAAGAACCACACCTCGCCCAAAAGAGATTGATTCTATGGTGTACCCGCAAACCTATTTCTCAAACTGTATGTATGTTATTGGTCAGAAAGTGACCATCAGGGCTTTGGCTTTAACCATAATTCCATCCATGGCCATTCTTTTATGTCCTTTATGTTCACAGCATCATGGGAGCTGCTTCTGAACATCGTATTAACAACAAAGTGGTCTCTGCTGCCGACTACACCGAGCAGTTGGAGAAGATTGGTATCCTCATCAAAGCCAGAAACTTCCTCGTCTTCCAGGTCAGTGAACTAATGGTTTCAATGACTGTGCACTTGAGTTAGTTATGCTTCCACGCTTAGATCTGTTGTTCTGACTAGGGACTTCGCCTATTTAATTGAAAAAATTTACATGCATAAATAGTGTATGCACTCCAGTGTCCGTTAATATTCGTCTACATGAGGCCCAGTGTCATCTACATTTCTTGTATGGATTTTATAGCCTTTGATGATGGAATGTCAAATCAGCTGAAAAGTGAGCAGGTTAATTTTAAACTGCTTCTGTAATTCTGGCACCTTTTGTTATCAAGTTACTTGCTCCAAACAAAAATCTAAAAGATCAAAAAAGACCACTGTTATCTTCAGAGTGACAGTAGACCATTGCATATTATAGTGATACTTGTTCACAACTATATACCTGTTGTGTGTGACTGTAACACATCAGTTTGGCATTTCAGTCCCAAATACCTACACTGTAGATCTTTGTAAAGGGAGCCCTGCCTCTTTTCATGACTTTTGAAGGCCAAGGACCCCATAAAGTTCAAACAGAAGAAAAATTACCGTTGGTTTTCTGCACAGTGATGGATTTTGTAGGATCCAGAACTTTCTTCTTACAAATGGCAAGGGAGGTAGAGTTCAGACGTTGGGTTGCTTTGAATACTTCAGGGTGCTGTGGAATCCATTGCCATGAAGAATCCGAAGGAGCGCACAGCTCTCTTTGAGGAGATCAGCCGGTCTGGTGAACTGAAGAATGAGTATGACAAGCGAAAGGCTGAGATGCTGAAAGCGGAAGAGGACACGCAGTTCAACTATCACAAGAAGAAAGGTATCGCTGCCGAGCGTAAGGAAGCCAAGCTGGAGAAAGAAGAGATGGAACGCTACCAGAAACTTAAAGAAGATTTGGTGAGTTGGTTGACCAAAGATTGCAAAGAAAGTTAAACTTACTGTCTGAAATTTGGAGGTTCAGCCTAGGGCAGTATTTTTTTCCTGTACTCCACGCTACCACAGTTTGTGGTAGTGCAGCGAGTGGGTCTGCCAGTGATCAGGGTTTTTAAAAAGTCTTGCCAAGTAGCCTTAAGAGAAAAAGTTAATCATTCTGCTGTTCATCCATAATCGCAGGAAAATCAAAGTGCATCTTGCTTAATAAGCCAGTGTTGTAGTGCTGTAGTTCTTTAGTATATCGTCTCTACATACCCTCTGTACTTGCTTTGATCTGTGTACCTCCTTAGTGCTCCAGTGTTGGCTTATCAACAAAGCTGTATATCATGTGTCCATAGTTTTGTTCTTGGCCTTTTATTCTAGTATTTCCAACACAAATGGCCGTCAGTGTGCACAGCTTTTGACTTGCAGGTCATTGCAGGTGTTCTTCCGGAGGATTCCATAATGTCATTTTAATTGCACTGATTTCTGTTAACCCCTGTCCCACCTTCAGCTGGACAAGCAACTGGAGTTCCAACTGTTCAAGCTTTACCACAACCAGAACGACATCAAGCGCTTTGGCGAGGAACTGAAGGGTCGGAATGATGAGCTCCGGCGAGCCACGGACAGGAGGGACAAAGTGGAGGACAGGATCCGAGACAAGAAGAAAGAGTTGGGGCAGCTGACCCGGGAACTAGCTGCAATAGAGAAAGACACACGCGAAAAGGTTTGTCTTGGAAATAAGTACATTGCTTTGAGTGTGCATTGCTGTGGCTTCTGTGGAACACAACCAAAACATAGTGGGTTATAAAGTAGTACCGTTTCTATAACAAGGCATGAGATCTTTCGAATTCTTTTTCTGACATCAGGCTTTTGAAAGTGAAAAAAAATTGTGACTTTGTAGAAAAGAAATATTGTCAATATAGAAATTAACCCAGAAGCTTGACAGTTTGTCTGGATTTTAAACCTGCAAGTAAAATTGTCAATATATCCAAGTGTGCTGTGTTCCTCTCGAGAAAAAAAAGTTTTTGATTGTGCACATTCAGTTGAATGTTGGCCACACATGGTAATTTTCTGTTATTCATAGGCTTCAGACAGAATGTGTCAACGTGATCAGGCCCTCTGTATACACAAGCACAACTCACCTCTGGCCGACAGCAAGCTGCATTATCACCCCATTTGTTTAGGATACGAGCACAGTCCAAGAAATCTACTGAAATGGTCTATATGTTGAGCTTAGCTGCTGTGTACGGCCTGTGGCGGCAAATACTGAAACCATTTCTTAATTAGTCAGTATTTTTTTTTCAACTTCATTTCAAAAGCTAACGATCATATCTTGACTTTTTAAAATGTCAAACATTTTAGCCAAAATGATATCATCCACAAGTGGTTCAACAGCGCGCGGCTTCAGACATTGTCTCCTTTGTTGGTTCTCTTGAATGAACTACACAGCACCATCTACCATTCCTGCATGAGGATGTAGTGAATCCCCAGTCCATGTGATTTCTTGGGCCCACAAATGCCTTGTCTAAATGTGAGGGTTGTGAAAGGGTTTAGGTCCTGAAAGAGAATGTGGTTACCATCCCTCTAGGAAGTTGAGCTGAATAAGAAGAAGCCTCTCTTCATCAAAGCCAAGGAGAAGACCTCCCACATGATCAAGAAACTCGAAACAGCCAAGTAAGAAGCCAAATTTTTCCTTCTTTTGTTAAAATAGGTTTGCAAAAAAAATGTGCATATTTTAGATGTGACAGCCACAGGAGGACATAATGTTCAGTGGGACTTGTCACGCACTGTTCCTGAATTGGCAGATTATGTTGAGTAACATAATCTGGCAATTGACAGTGGTACTACTGTCAACTGCTTAGTGCAGCAAGTATTAATTAGACTTGTGCTGTGTTTTCTTAGCAGAGTTGGAGCTCAGCTACATATTTGACTAGAGCCCACAGAATTGGTCTTCAGTAATTTTAGTTTAGTTTGCATCAGAAAAAGCACTCAGTTTGTCTTCTTGATAATAGTACACATTGTGTGTGAAAAATGTTGAAGGCAAGGATTAGTTTATATTGTGCAAGACTTGATTAAAGGCCTTTAACTCCAAAGTGGCTCTGGCAACTTGCAACTCACTTCATTAGGTTTGGTCGTACGCACTTTGACCTAACATTGCCCACACTAGAAATGAAGATGGTGGTCAGGATTGAAAAAGTCACCACTAAAGTAAAACTGAAATGTTCTAAGTCAGCTGACAGCAGATGTATTTGAATTATAGGAAGTCCTTGAAGAGTGCCAAGAAGGCCAATGAGAGCCACATGGGAGAGATCAAGGAGTTGGAGGCGGAGTTGGAGGCGGTGGAAGCCAAACGTCTGGAGTATGAGGAGAGGATTGAGGAGGAGAGTCAGAGCCAGGGACGTGACTTGGAGCTAGAGGAGGAACAGGTAAAGCTTAGGACAGATGGAACAAGTTAAAGTGCATATGACTCATTCATATGCACCTTCCCAGTCAGAAAGTCACAAGTTAAAAAACTATGAATTACCGACTATTTGTTTCAACAATTGCACTTTTTTTCAAACAGCCTTCTGGCCATGTTATTGTACGTGCTTCCCACGAGCTGGTGTTTTATTAACGCTAACAATATTCAATCCTCTGATTTAAATATGATTAGCATACACCGGGGGGGGGTAAGATTAACCATTGTGATTAACTTCATGCATTTCCACAATCACTCAAACATTTCTTCACTTCGTTGACTTTCATGAAATCTCACTTGCTGGATATCTGCTATATTCAAACTGCCATGTGACAGGCCTTCAACCAATAGGCATGGCTGAACTGTTCGAGATATTAGGAATGAACCTTCCTGAAATTGGCTGATGTACATGTTGGAGCCATTCAGGATGTTGTGCACCCCTCACATTTATTCTCTTAAGTCTTTTTCCAGCTTGTGGGCAGGTATCAGTAATGAGGTATCAGCTATGCAGTTTGAAGATAGCAGATATCCAGCAAGTTCTTTTTCTTCAATTCATTGTTGAATATTAATGCTTTTGGTGGCATTTTGTGTTGCCAAATGCAGGGGAAATTAATTTCAGACCTTTAGTCTATATTCATTAAGGAGCTAAAAAATGCTAAGGTAAATTTTCTAAGAGCCTGTGATATCTGTACAGGTTTTTTTTAGTGCTATCACCCCACACCAGCATCTTAAGCTTCACATAAATGACATTTTTCTAAAAGGCCCTTCCTTCAAAGTGTTCACCAAATTCTGCCTTTATCTTATGAAGTTTTTTATGCTGAATGGTTATTGACATTTTTTCTGTCTAGGTGAACGAGTATCATCGTTTGAAGAAGGAAGCAGGAATCCGAGCGTCTCAGCTGCACCAGGAGTTGGACAAGCTGAACCGAGACCAGAAGTCAGATCAGGACCGCCTGGAGAATGAGAAACACCGCAAGAGTGAACTACAGGCCAAGATCAGACAGAAGGAACATGAAAGGTGAGAACAGGCATTGATTGGGCCAGACGCTTCAGATACCGGTCCATGAGGGAGGAAATGACAAAATGCCTTCTGTCCATTACATCATTGGCTTTGTACACGTGCTGTCCGTTGTAGTGTATTGTCTGGAGTGAACCAGGCAACATACTAGGGGTGTGCATTTGCGGGTATTTTTAGAACCGGGTACCCGTTTTTTGTTAACA